GACCCAGGTTCGATTCCCAGAAGGTATTACACTCATACACACATAAAATAAAAATAATAAATAAAATATATTTTTTAAAAATGAACTGGGAAAGTATTGAAGCATAACACTGAGGAAAAATCACCAGAAAAGCCAATATGATGATAAATAATAAGAACAGTCAGCAAACTGGCTCTCTACAGATGTAATAACTATCACAGGCAGAAAAACATTGCAACATTTTAATTCTGAACATGGTTATTTTATGAAATATGAACAATACATTTACACACATTATCAAGTGAGGCTATGCAAACAAAGCTAATTATAATCTATTTGACAAACACTGAAAGAAATTTTTCAAAGGAAAACTTGACCACTCTTAAAATGTAACTGCATCAGGGCCGGGCGTGGTGGCGCACGCCTTTAATCCCAGCACTTGGGGGGCAGAGGCAGGCAGATCTCTGTGAGCTCAAGGCCAGCCTGGTCTACATAGTGAGTTCCAGGACAGCTGGGGCTACAGGGAGACCCTGTCTCAAAAAAAGACCGAAAAAAAAAAAAAAGTAACTCCATCAATCTGAGCACACTTATACATGCATATATATAACTATAATGTATATAATGTGCATGTATGTATTTGATAGGAAAAAAACAAAGGTTTAGATATACTGACAGTTATGCAACTAACAAAGGCACTAAAACAGTGGAACAAAAAAATAGGCTAGGAAGGAATGGCTTAACGAGCTAATTTTTCCTTTAATTTATTTGAGGGGGGTGTTGTTTGGGATAGGGTCCCATATATAGGTCTCATGGCCTCAAATATGCTATTTGGCAAAAAAAAAAGAAAAGAAAAAGCCCTGAACTGATGATCCTCCTGCCTTTCACCTCCCAAGTGCTAGGATTACAGTCATATACCATGATTCCCAGTTTATGTGGTGCTCAGGATGGAACCCAGGGCTTCATGCATGCTAGGCAAGCATTCTAACAACTGAGCTACAGCCCCAGCCCAATTTTTCCTTTATTAAGTGATATCTAGATCTGATTAATTAGAACCTGTTATAAGCACTTTTCTTGGTGGTGGTGGTGACTGAAACCAGGTCCTTGCATACACTAGGCAAGTCCTGCACAGCTGATCTGGACCCTCAGCCATAAGCAGGCTCCTAATAGATATGGAGATGACCTGACCACCAGGAGAACTACACAGGATCTGCTTTAATCTTTTATCTGAGGAAGGAGACAGGAACTGAGGACAGGACTGCTACTTTTCATACAGTTTAGTGCACTATTTTTACATTTTAATCATGAAAATGAACTACTTGCTTAATTAAAATTTTAAATTCTTATTACAAAAGAATGTCACTTTGTAGATTTCTAAAAGTACTATCATGGATTCTCATTCCAAATTTATAACTACATCTGACTTATGTATTTACATATGTGAAATTATATATTTAAATGGCACTATAGTGAATTCATATTTATTGAAAGGATTAGACTAGCTACTTGTGTAAAAGATCTAGTATGGAGCCTAGTACAAAGGCAGATCCAATTCATGTTAGCTATTGTTGCTACCATTCCTTATGCGCACAGAAAGGGGCTCAACACAAGTATGAGATTTAAGACATATACGCATTCAACGATTACTGACTGAATTCATAAGTTCTACCAAATTTTTAAATAGATAACCCTCTTCTAAGACTGTCAAGTCAAAGGTAGACATCTAATTAATCTAATGAAATTAGAATAAAACTTAAACCTTATAATACATTTTAAAAAAAGAAAAAGCTGGGCGTGGTGACACACACCTTTAATCCTAGTACTCGGGAGGCAGAAGCAGGCAGATCTCTGTTTAAGGCCAGCCTGATCTATATAGTGGGTTCCAGGTCAGCTGCTGGGGCTACAGGGAGACTCTGTCTCAAAAGATCAAAAAGAAGAAAAAAAAAAACAAAAAAGAAAATCATGTTCGGATCTTATTATTTGTAACAACAGTTAACAGTAGCAGCAGCAATAGTGATTACAACATTTATTGCATGTTAATTTTACTTCTAATACTCTCCTATTTCTCTTTCATTTGAAATTTTTACTGTAAATATTACTTTCCAATATGGAAAGAGGACTGGCAAAATGGCTCAGCAGGTGAAAGCACTCATCTACAAGCCTAACAACCTGAGTTCAATTCCACCACAGGATGGAAGGAGAGGACTGACTCCTCCAAGTTGCTGTCTGACCTTCACATGCAAACTAGGACTTGTGCACAAGCGCGTGCGCACACACACACACACACACACACACACACACACACACAAGTAAATAAATAAATGTAAAAAAACATATGGAGGAGAGAGACAGGAGAAACCTTCCTTTGAGTTGTTGGCCAGGGTAGTCCAAGAGACTCCCAAAATTACACAGGCTATTGCCATAGCCCTGATTACCTCTCAGAACTTGAAGGTAAGATCCTATTGCTGAAGACAGGACACACTTCAGACACAGGATTTAGAGCAATGGAGCTGGAACTGACCTGGAAGCCACCTCCCCTGAAGGCTAGCACTCATAGGTTTTGGGGAGCACTACACAAGCTGGTAAGGGAGAACATCAATCAATGGTCCAACACCAGTTTCAAGGTCTAAAAATCACATCAATGATGAGCACAGCAAACAATATTGGTACAGTAGTGGCACTTTTATCTTGGGGGGAATCACAGCTACTTAATTGGACTTAAAGCCCACTCAATGGGAGGAAACTCAGGTGTGGTACTGTAAACCTAGCCAAATAAACATAGCTGGAGAGGTCAAAGATCTTAGAGAAAACCCCAAGGCTGTCACATCCCTAGATAAGTGTAATTTCTTATTGTGTGTGAAATATAGAGCCTTAATATTAGAAAGTGTGGGTCCTTGGACAGGTCTCACATCCACCCACCCAGGGCTCAGGGATCATTGTGGAAAAGAAGGCAGGAAAACAGTAAGAACCAGGGAGGAGGTGCATGACCATACAGAGCACCTGGGACTCTTCGCATATGAGGGACAACTGGGGATACTAACTTGACATGATAGGGAAGTTAACTAACTTGACATCAATGGGAAGGGGATATAA